GAGAGAGAGAGGGTCGTCCGTTCGTGGCCTAAAGGAGGGCCGGCGGAAGAATATAAAGAAACCGGCTCCTGATAGTGACTGAAAAGTCAAATCAATTATCAAGACTGCGCTCAATCGCCGTGCGTTGGTTCATGCCTGTCCTCTTTTTTTTCTTCATCGGGAGAATCGATACGCCGTCGCCGCCGTCATTGATGACGCGTCTCATTGTGCAATTCCATACGCGGCCAGTGTCTAGCTTAGATCTCAGATTATTTCCAAGTTGTGGCATGAGGATTACGATGATGCGTCGGGCGAAGAGTGTTAAAAGTAGCGCAAAAAGTGGACGGAACGGTCGAAGCCCCGGAAATGGAAAACGGTGTTACCAACGCGCGACGCGAAGCGATGGCCTATCCTGGAACAAGGGGATTCCTGTCCGGGAATTATATGGCGAGAAGCTTCACTTCGAGGAGAAACGGGTGCGAGGTGCGGTGTGCGACTCTTATGATACCGATTCTGCGATGAAGCGGATCCGCCGGTCACCCTCTTCCAGCTCTCGATCGGAGGCTCGATCGTCGGACATCGCGGAAGTTTGTTCATCGCGACGAAGACTTAGTAAATTATTTATTATCGATATAACATTTTATTCGCGACGGGCGGCTGCTGCGCGACGGCCGGACAGGGCAAGTGTGGTTTCACGCAATGGTGGTTGTGGAGGAAAAGAAAAAGAGGAAAAAAAAACGGACGGACGGGACACGAGTTGTATGAGCGAATCGTTCGGTTGCGTGAGTGCGAGACCAGGCGTGCGTACGAGTAAATGCAAGCGCGCGTGTGCGGAACGAGTAGAACGAAAGACGCGCAAGAGGCGCGGCTAATTGCAGGGTCGAGAGGAGAAAAAAAGAAAGAAAGAAAAAAGACAGAGAAAGAGCGGACGCGCGCGCGCGCGCTCGCGCGTATTTGTGTATGCGTGTAAGGAGCTATAGGGGGATAATGTAGTGCCAAGAGTGAAAACGGAAACTCTGTACATATTAGGCTAGGTAGTTCAATATCAATATACTTATTACGACTAAAAAAAAAACGATATGCTACATACCGATTTAAAAGTAAAACATCAAACATACGTTACAACACGCATACCATTAAAAACACGAGATGGCCGGCCGTACGAAACTATAATGGGACGCGCACACACCGACAAATGTATATTCCTCTGGCAAAGTTACATCGAATATGTTCTGCCTCGAATGCTATGTGTACTTGATGCAAACGACACGTTGAATCCTTTCCGGCATAGAGATTAGAGATAATTATAAGGAAAATTCGATCTCTTGTTATTTTAAAGATTGTGTTCGTAATTATTATGTTATTCAGTCATAGTTATTATAAGTATCGAGTTGATGTATTGATAATTTAAAAAAAAATTTATAAAAAGAGGTAGATCGAATGATGATCTGTTATTGTACTACATTGATGTGTAATTTTTAGGATATAATGTAAGGTTTCAAAATTTCTCGCAGCTCAAACAGCTGGAGCGGAAAGGATTAACAGTTCCTCTAATTAACGTTGCATTAACTAAATCGTATATGTTTTTTCTCCTTAGATTAGAATTATATTGTAATATATACAGAGAGCAAATATAAACGCGATCGTTTGATGCGGTTGCATGGATATTTCTGCTTAATTAATTTTTGCTTTTGGCGATTTTTTATTAAGTTATTCATGTAGATGTGACGGAGAAAGAAAAGAAATTTTGAATTCATCAACATATTGAGTTAACTCCAAATGATGTTAATGCAACCGATAATTAACGATCGACCGAATCGAAGTGCATCGAGGAAGAATCGAATGACCGTTATTTGTTCGATAAACATTTGTTTTGCAGACAGAGTACGTTTGTAATGACGGCGTGTATACAAGAATGTATTTGCAATGCAAATCTATGAGAATGCGCATCCCTTTCGCGTTCCGAATGGCTCGCCCTGTGTCCGACATAACGCTATCTTTATTATTATTCAAATAGATAAGGCCTCAGTTTTGACAAAATAGGACGAGTTCTGTTTGAACAAGGATTCGAATTCGATGATGCATTCCGCAGTTTAATATAATAAATATAAATTTTAGGTATTTCTCAAGGATTTATATAATTAATAATTTATACTGGTAATAAATCATTAAATTACATAACTTTTATCAGGATTATTTAAGAAATGTTTCTATTTCTTATCTCTTGTGAAATATAAATATTGAATTTATATTTCATTCTTAAAAACGTCGGTTATGTACGTATTCATGCGAAAATGCCTTGTCACCTTCGAGTCTCAGTTTCGAAACAGAGCGAATCACTCAATTATTTCATGAGAAGTCACCAATTATTATTGTATTTCTTAAGGGTCCGCGATGCAGGGAGAAATTGCAATGAAATTATACCGATACGTTTCCCTTTGTGATTACGGATTCATGCGTGGCGTACGAAGAATGCGCGAGATAGGAAGATGGTACGCGTAGAGCGGAATGTTTCTCGTATGCACTTTGTTGGCGTTAATTTCGCGAGTTTCCGCTTCCTTTCCGAGAAAATGTTGGATTGGCGCCCTTAGATATCCATTCAGAATTTTGTTGAATGCACGAAATTCTCATTCGACATCGTCCGTGCGTATCCGCGACGCGGTTTCATCAAATCGCTCGACACAAGATTTGGCATTTGACGTGAAAGTGTAAAGTCTTAACGGCGAGGTCCTAATTATCGTTAACAAATTCTTTCTAGGAAGAAAAATGTAAATTTTAATCTTCGAGAAAGTGTCCGGGCAATTGCGCCCACACGGCGACGTTGTTTCGTTTCATGTTCATTAAGTCGCCGTGTGGCGAGTCGAGGGAGGAAATATCGTCTTTCTGTTTCACCTTTGAGATGTGTTCACGCGCATGCAATATTAGGCGACGAGGTTTTATTATATTCTATGTAAAGAAATTATCGCGCGTGCGGAGCGAAGCGATCGAGGAGAAATATCGGCAAAGAATATCTTTTTTTTTTTTTTTTCCCTTTTTTCGAATTCTCACTTCTATATTGTCCCTTTCGCTCATTTTATTTCTTCCGCTTATTACAATCTCATTCTCTCGCGTGCGCATTCGTTTTTTTCTGTATGCAATAGAAAAGATAAATTATACGTATATGCGTATTCGAGAGAGATTATGATAAGCGCAAAGGACAAAATGGGAGGAAAGTGCAGAAAAGAAGTGGATTCGAAAAAAGAAATGTATAATTCGATGGGTCCTGTGCAAGTTTTGATTAAATTTGTAACGTCGTCGACTTAGATTAAATTTAAAACACGACGACGCGAACGCGAGATATTTTAGACGATAAGTTCTAGGCGAAGTGAAATTTTAGCAAGCTATTGTCGATTACTATTATCGCTATCAGACATCGTGATATATCTAGCAATTTGTTAATTGGGATTTGCGAGACGTATGAGTATAATCGTGGCCTTTCACGAGAGAGAGAGAGAGAGAGAGAGAGAGAGAGAGAGAGAGAGAGAAAGAGAAAAATAGAGAGAGTAACGAAAGTGATTCCCCCATGGAATATCCTTTTGTTCCCGTCCGGATTCACGATTCAACCTTCGAGATTGCTAGTATTTTAAGATTGAAAGTAAAAATTATTCTTTTTTTTTTTTGTATAGCTTAATTCTTCTTCGCGAATTGTTTGGTTCATCAAATTATC